ACGGCGACGAGAAGGACGGAAGAGCGAGGGGAGAGGAGAGGGATGAAATTCAACGCGGGGAAACGCGAGTAGGGAATGAGGTTGAAGCCGACGAGCCGATGGAACCGATCGGGGGAACGTTAGTCGTGGAACGTTCAAAGACAAGCGAACACTTGGAAATTCAATATCGACGCAATATTCATCGCGATCGGCGCGGATGTCGTATTAGGGAGTAAAATCGTTGATTCTTGAGACAGAAGATGGGTGTGATCATCGAATGGAGAGTCATGCGAAAAATTACGAACTTGGATGTGCATTGATCGATCGATCGATTGATCTTTATTAGCTTTCTCAGCTATTTGTGAATATAGGCAATTTTAGATTATATTAAATAAAATATATTCCTTTAACATTCCTTAAACGTTGATGATCGATATCAGACCAGCTCAAAAAATCGCTTTGACATGTCAGTGCTGCACTGAGAAAAATCGTTTGATTGTACCAATAAGACGTATATGATTCAAGGCATTTTGATTAAATCAAGCAAGAATTTCTAGTTATCATGATAAGACTTGATTTTTTATAACTGGAACGTTTAATAGATTTTACTATAAGGATTTGGTTAGTATTTTCTGGTTGAATCTATAAAATTTCTTGTTGCACTAAATTCTTACTCGTATTAAATATTTGCCATGAAATGTATATAAAGAACTAGTATTAACATTAAATCTAAAGTATATTTTTTTTTCTCTTACGAGCAGTAGTGTCAGAAAGAGGACGCTAGCTCTCTGATTGGGTGTGTTTGAGCTGCATCCTCTTCTTGCATCACTGTTTATCAGTTCAATTTCTAACAAATTGAATTTAAAATAATTTATTCAATAATCTGGATTGAATTTATCCAATAATCTTGTTGGAATTCAGAATATTAAACAGATTTTTGAGATTAGATGGAAAAAATTTTAGATGACTTGGTTTTGGGGAATTTAATATTATTAACCGGAAAATTTGGTAAATTGAACAGGAAGAAATTAATCAGATTCATCTGGTAATTCCTACAAGTATTCTGGCTCGTCCATTTTCCAACAGACATACTGGTTGAATTTACCAGAATTTTAATTAATGCAATCAGATTTTTTTCTCAGTGCACTGTTTATCAGTTTAATTTCTAACAAAACTGAATTTAAAATAATTTATTCAATAATCTGGATTGAATTTATCCAATAATCTTGTTGGAATTCAGAATATTAAACAGACTTTTGAGATTAGATGGAAAAAACTTTAGACGACTTGGTGTTGGGGAGTTTAATATTATTAACCGGAATATTTGGTAAATTGAACAGGAAGAAATTAATCAGATTCATCTGGTAATTCCTACAAGAATTCTGGCTCGTCCATTTTTCAACAGACATACTGGTTGAATCTACCAGAATTCTAATTAATGCAACTAGATTTTTTCTCAGTAGAAAATAACATATTTAATTATTTCTCATAGAAAATAACATATTTAATTATTTCTCATAGAAAATAACATATTTAATTATTTCTCATAGAAAATAACATTTTTCTAAGTAGAAAATAACATATTTAATTATTTCTCATAGAAAATAACATTTTTAAATCAAATATCATAATTTTCTTAAAGTAGAATTAAATAATTATATATTCTTGATGTGACAATTACAATATTAAAATAAGACGATAATATTGTTGAAGTTTAAAATTATTAAATTCTTCTAAGAAGATTATAAATTGTTGCGTATATACGAAACAATGAACGCATTAATTCCTACAAGAATTCTGGTTCGTCCATTTTCCAGCAGACATACTGAATCTACCAGAATTCTAATTAATGCAACCACATTTTTTTCTCAGTGTGATTCCTTGCACAATATTGTCAATATTCCGAAGCGGTATGATGAATAAACGAGCGAAGCGATTGTTGAAAATGATGCATACGCGGTGAGGAAAAATTGCGGAAAGGGCGAAAATCGTGCAAGAAGACAAATGGAAACGCGAGGATAAAAGACACCTTACCCCTATCTGGGGAAGAGAGAGGAAAGAAAATGAGAGAGCGAACGTACATGCGTGAGCGATCGCGTCGAAGGAGAGATCGTGTCCTCGGAAATCGTGCGAATGCGAGGAAGGATACGAAGATGGATCGAGGGTAGGGGAAGTGGTAGCGTGCTAAGATGAGGAAGCGTGTTAAGACGAGCCGACGGACGGAATACGAGGGCGAGAGAAGAGGAGCGACACTTGCGAGAGGAATCGGAAGGACGAGGAAGGAGCGACGGAGACGATTTTAGATCCGTGCAAAGACATGCCGGAAAGTAAATGAGAAGGAGAAGGAGAAGAGAAGGAAGAGAAGGAAGAGGAGGAAGAGCAGGAAGAGGAGGAGGACGAGGGGGACGAGGGGGAGGAAATAATAACGACCCTGACGACGACGTCGCAGTGCCGCAGAAAGGTTGACGACCCGATGCGGCAGGCGACGCCCTCCTTCCCCTCCCGCGCCGACAACCCCCTTCTGCAGCAGCTACTACCACCTCCATCGCAACCACCGCCATCGGCCAACCGCCTAAACCACCCGACTATCCCACCCCCCGCGCCCCCCCTCCTCCACCTGGTGTGCTGAAGCGCATGCATAGCGTACGCCAGCAGCAGGGCCACCCTTGTCCCCCGCTCTCTCCCTCGCTTCTCTCTCTCTCTCTCTCTCTCTCTTTCTCTCTCTCTCTCTCTCGTACCTTTCATCCCTCGTATCCCGGCCGTCGCCGCCACCACCACCGCCGGCGTTACCCTGCGACCGTCTGGCCAGGGTCGGGGTCATTGAACGTCTATAAAGATTTTGACTTGGCGCCGCCGCCGCTGCGGATGCAGGAAGCGAGTTACGCCCTTTTATACAGAGTGTAACATAATTTGCCGGGCGTCCGAACCCGACAGAAAAGATGCGGGAGAGGTGTACCCCGATATTAATACCCCGGAACGAAAGCTAATGTCAATCTATTTTCGCAGATAAAGGGATCCGTCTCCGTCGTATGTGTGTAACGCGCATTCACGGATTCGCATCGTCCTTGCTCGTCCTGGAGTTTCCGGATATTAATGCGGATTTTCAGGGCTCCTAATTGGGTTTCGTTATCGAGGCGATTCGATTAGATGAAAAATAGAGACGAGTACCTTTAAACTGACTTTTATCTCGTATCATTTCTATTTTTGTATAGATATCGAGTCTATATTTATTCACGTCTTCGTGTCTGCTTTAAAATTAACGGCATTTTAAAATGTCGAGATACTATTTTAGGTTGCTTATGAAGAAAGTGGCTCATACGTGGGATTTACGTAGATTAATTTCGAGCGAAGGAATTACTTTGGCAATTTATATAACTGATATATTTCGGGACACGCCCTCTTTTACACAAGACATCAACTCAATTTGACACCCTCAACAGTACATTTGTGCTCTCAAAATAATGCAATCTAAATCTTTGATCGACTATACATATTGAAAAACAAAAAATAAATTTGCATGATAAAATATGTGATTTAAGGCACCTTGATCGTAATGGATACAATTAATTAAATTGCGTAACCGATAAAAAATTTTTTTACAAAGTAAAAATTCTCTCTGCTCTTGAATTTGTCGGAAAAAATTTCATCAGAAACGATAATTGAAAAAATAAACGATCAGTAAAATTTTTAATTATATTGTATCTTAACGATATTTTTTAATCAATTTGAAATTGGCTAATTATTGCAAGAGTTATGCGTTGATTTTTATAAGAAACAATCATCTTCATTCATCGGCGATGAAGGAAATAAAACGGTAAACTCGATTGAAGGAGGAGCACTAAAAGTTCAACAAAGCGATCCACTTGTCAAGACGCTGATGTAACAATTTGCAGAGAGGATAATCCCCTTTCTCGCTTTGCATTCTCTTGGATGGGAGTTTTTCACAGACAGGGAAGAAAAAGAGAAAACAACAGGTGAAGTAAAAGGATTTCCCAGACGGAGACGAGTTGGCCCCGGCGAAAGGGTTGAAAAGACAAAGGAATTAAGGAGCACGAGAAGGTTTAAGTTGAAGTTCTAGAGAAAATTCGTCACGTCTCCGAGAGAGGGTTTCAGACGGGGATGGTTAAGAGCCTGGGACGTGTTTTGCCAACGCCAGGATCGGAGGTCGTTGAACGTCGGTAAAGATTTCGACTCCCGCCGATGCTGCGTTTTGTGGTAAATAGGCGCGTGCGATCCCACCCTTGCTCGAGGCGACGCGTGTGTGCGTGCAACGCTTGGTCTGGCGGATTGATGGAGGAACGTCGGAGATACCAGACACCTTACGGAGGCGCACCCTTGTCGCGTAATCCGTGCACGTTACGTGGATGCCATTACGAGAGCCGGCTAAAGGAATCGCGAAGAAGAGCAGAGCTTGTCGACTATGTCGAATTTCAAGGACTTCAGGATTTCGTATGAATAGTTTCTATGAAAGATGACATTTTTTCCAACTGCAATTTCGGCGCCGAATAATATTAAAATAATTATAATTTGTTAATTATGGTTATAATAACAAAATAATAATTATTTGTTTATAATAATTTTTTTTTTTTTTTTTTTTTTTTTTTTTTTTATTATAATAATAATTTTAATATTATTTTATAATATCAATTTTAATATGAATAAATCAAATAATACGATAAAAAATTAATGAAAATCTAGATCGATATTATCGTAGATAAAATATCAGATTGTGTTGTGAAATTTGAGAATAAATATGATACGAGAATTTTTCATAGTACTAAAATAGTAATTGGCGAAGAAATATTATATAATCGAAATTGCCCTCATTTTAATCAATCGATAAATTCTTTCGAGTAATATATGATGCGCGTATCATTGTATTTCTCAATAGATATTTTTTTTATGTTGCCCTGCAACAGGAATGAAGCAACAGGATGCAGAGTTCGAATTCATGCATGAGTACTTCAAGGGTGAATATAGATGGGCGCATAATTGGTAGTAATAAGAAATATGGTACTCACTTTACTGAAGTAACCGACGGTATGGCAGCCTTCGGAATCGCCGATTGTCATGACGTAAAAGAGGAACGGCTCAACATCGTAGTACAACGTTTTATGATCCAGGAAGAATTTGGCCAGCAAACAGAGATTCTGACAATACTGCTTATACCGCTTACCGTCCACTTCCCACACGCCTATCTTGTCTTTTCTGTAAGAGACAAACATGCATGTGTTAATTTTAATTGTCATTGTACATCAATCAAGTTATGATAAGTTACATACACATTATACAGGGTGTCCCAAAAGTCCCGGACCGGTCAAATATTTCATAAACTATGCACTTTAGAAAGAAATGTTTCAGACAAAAGTTGTATGGCTTGAAGGGGGCCATCAGATAGTGGCAATGATTTGACATGGGAGAGTCATTTAAAAGTCACGTGAAGATCACCGTCAATTTCTTAAATGGAACTCCCTATTTTTTATTACATATTCGTGTAGCTTATCTCGAGAGTTTTCCAAAACACTATAATAAAGTATTTCTTCATTGAGTACTTTTCGAGTTATAAGGCTTGAAATCATTTCTTAATTTTACATAAACCGTAAAATATCTTGTGAAATATTCATTTTTCGATTATCTTACCTTAATACTTTTATGTACAAAATAATGAGAGGAATCAATTGGTGTAAAGAAAACACATAGTTGTTTAAAAAAAAAATATGTAATTGTTAATTGCAAATTACATATTTTTTTCTTAAAAACAACTATGTTTTTTCTTTACATCAATTAATTTCTCTCATTATTTTGTACATAAAATTATTAAGGTAAGATAATCGAAAAATGAATATTTTACTAGATATGGTTTATGCAAAATTAAGAAATGATTTCAAGTTTCTCATAATTCGAAAAGTATTAAATAAAGAAATACTTTATTATAGTGTTTTGGAAAGTTCTCGAGATAAACTACACGAATATGTAATAAAAAATAGGGGATTCCATTCAAGAAATTAACGGTGATCTTCACGTGACTTTCAAATGACTCTCCCACGTCAAATCATTGCCACTATCTGATGGCCCCCTTCAAGCCATACAACTTTTGTCTAAAACATTTCTTTCTAAAGTGCATAATTTATGAAATATTCGACCGGTCCCGGACTTTTGGAACACTCTGTATAATCCTCTGTATAATCCTCTTTCTCTATTTAAATTATATTTTAACAACAATTTATTAATATATTTTATTCACTTTGTTTATTTTAAAAACTTTATAATAAAGAAACAAAATATTGAGTGAAATGTACAAACACTTACCTATATACTTCGTGTCCCGGTGGATGCCTCCATAAACATTTCTCTCTGTGCCTTCTCAGTACTTGACGACTCTTCGCGTATCTCAAGCAATATTCACAAAGGTAAAGTTTTGGAGCACGACTATATTCCTCGGGATACGGGCTTTGATACCAAACTTCCATTTCCCATTTCCCCATTTCGACGACTCGCGTGCCACCGCCGTTTCTACCTTCGCCATCATAATCCAATTCCTTTAATTCCTTCTCCTTAAATATTAAAAAAAAAACACACATATATAAAGTGCTTATACAATAGTTAATAACTACTATTGTATTTGAAAAAATGCTAATCAAATTATGATGCTAAATATTATGTGTAAATCAACTGAGAAAAACGAAACTGAATATTTACGATTTTCTCGCTAGCTATCGCCTGAGCTTCCATAAATAGTTTCAAGTCATAATCGGGCGTGAGATTGTTCAGTCGAGGTTGCTTGTCCTTCTCGTTTCCCTGTAGTTCACCGCCGCTATCGCTTTCGTTACCGTCACCGGTATTACCCTTCCATTTGTTCCTCATCTCTCGTACTTTAAGCTGATAATTGCGCTGCTCAGTAGTTTGATGAACACCCTTGGGTTTCTTAGCCAGATTCGTTACAGCCTTCTTGCGCTCGTCTTCCCGCTTTTTTCTCTCCTTATAAAATTCTCTGAAAAAGTCAACATTGTTTCCCTTTATCATGTGCGATAAATACTAAATATTAACGTATCCTCGATTCTCAATTATTATTAACATGATGAATTCAATTTTTGAAATGCAACTCACATGCAAGCTTGCGGCGTGGTATTGTGATACAGCGGACATGCTTCTAGGGTGAAGTGCGAGTCGAGCTTTCCAGAGAGATGACCTCGCGAATCGCAGGACGCAGCCAATGGACATTCACGCTCCTTCGCAGTGCGTGTTCGATTGTAAGGAGTTTGATTTGTTCTGTTACCAGTAGTATTAGAAGCGATATTGCTATTCTGCGTTGATCTGCCGGCTCCGGAAGTGGTTTGTCTGGCGGCAGCGGATGGTCCGGCACGTTTAACGGGCGATTTGCTCGTACTCCTCTTGCTCTCGGCTACTCTTGACAGATCACACCGAGTTAGCGCAATCTGTAGGATACGCTTACACGCTACCGTTTCCATACCTGAGAACCATACTGCCACCATAAGCAAAAAAGAAACCGTATCTGCACTTTTAAAATAATTTTGTTTTTATTTTTATTTACAAAATGTTTTTGCATCATCCAACCATTGAAGTGTAGAATGATTTAGAATGCATACACATTTACACATACATTTTTCAATCCAAAAGCGCAAATACTGCTTTTTTGTGTTAAGGAGACAGCACAGACTTCCATTGCTCAAAGTAAATCTACTTATCTCGATTTGAATGCTGGAGAAAGAAATATTTATCTTATAATAATCCATTAGCACACGAGCAATGATGACTCGAACTAAACAAACGTAATTCGAGTTCATCTAAATATACAGAACTCGCAGCAAATGAAAAAGTTAAGATCATAGCATAAAGATATTACTAAGCAGTAGAGATATAAACTAAACAGAATAGTAAAGACATTGAATTAGTCAAGTGCAAATTAATTATTGCTTTTTGCATACCTGTGTCAGATTCGGAATCGCTAACCGCCTTCGTTTGTAGTTGAAGCAATTTACTTCCTTTGCGTGTTTGCAGCTTTCGTTTACCTTTCGCTACTATTTTCGCAGCCGATGTACCTTCGTCTTCTTTTTCACTCGCAGATGCATCTCCGTCATCATCGCTTTTTATAGCTCCTATTTATACACATTCTTTTTTTCTTTATCAATGTTATATGTCGAAATATTGATAAGAAATTGTATATTGACAAACCTTGTCGTTTAGCAACTGTTTTCTGCGATTTTACGGGAGCTACTGCCGCCGATGGTCTTTTAGGTGGCACGCTCGCTATAGGATTCGTATTGTTGGGCTGCGTTTCCTTCTTTTTCGGTTGCGGCTGAGAGCTGGTGATGCTTTCAGACGATTCCGAATCAGTGCTACTGTCTGTACTTCCCGAAGATGCTGAGCCGCCGGAACTCTTCGAGCTCGCAGAGCTGTCCGATTTCTGCGGTTGCGCGGGTTTTGTAACTGCAAGTAATGTGCGTCAGAAATTTCATTACATTTCATATTATTATTTAATATGTTTCTCAAAGTTATATATAAAAAAAAAAAAATTCGCGAAACGTTCGCGTTTCAGTAATACAATTATTTACCAAGTCTACTTGTTGCCGCAGTTTTTTGCTTGGTATCATTTAACTTTGCTTTAGCCGGAGAATTCTTGGTACATTTTGTGGAGCCACTCGTTGGTTTGACTGCGTTAACTTTCGGCAAGATACCGCTGTCGCTTTCGCTACTATTTTCTGGACTGAATATACTTTTCTTTTTTAATTTCTTTTGGACCGGTTCTGTCGATTTCCCAGATTTATCAGGAGATTTGCCGTTGGCATTTGTGGAACCTGAAAAGTTATCAATCATTATTTGAGAAAAAAATTATGTATATAAGAATAATTTACTATAGAATATAAAATATAAACACACCAGCAAATTTGTTGGGTTTGCTATTGGCAGGTTTTAAAACAGCTGCAGCTTTGTGCTGTCCTGCTGGCGTTGGCACCGGTTTCGTGGGAGATCTCTTAACGACTGGTGCTACAGTAGCAGTGGCTTTTGGTTTAGCTGGTGGTTTTCTCTTCTGTGGCGATTTCGCTTTGCTAGGTGACTCTTCCGATTCAGAAGAGTACACAACTGGTCTGGTTTTCTGCGGCTGTCTATCTTTATTCTTATTATCCATAGGTGGCACAAATGAGAAAACCACTGCTTCTTTGGATTTGACATGACGAGTGGCTGCAAATGGCGCTTTCTTCTTAGCTCTCTCTGTGTCAGATGCTTTCTGACTATTGGCGGAGCTACTGGAATTTTCGGAATCCGACGAGCTAGATTCGCTGCCTGAACTCGATGAGCTACTCGAGGAAGAACCCGAGCTAGTCGTTGACGTAGATTCCGAACTGGTTGTCTGCGGTAACATTGTAAAATGATACTATAGAGTGATTGTATATAATTGTTTTTTAATATAAAAAGTAATTAAAAACAAATTAATTGAGTATTTAAGATCAATTATAAACAGTTATATTTTATATATTTTTTAATTAAAATAAAATAAATGTATTTTCCAATTTTAAAGGCAGAAGAAGAAAGTAGAAATATAATGTCAAAAGGACGATCGATTCGAACAAACGAGATATTAAATAATGATAATGCGAATAAAGATAAGATACAAAAGTTGTACGAAAGACTTGGACACTTCACGTCATAACCTTTGAATGAACCTACCTTTCGTTTAGGTGTCATTTTCGCGATGCTATCTTTTAGCGAGTGGATAAACGATGCCAAGTATCATCTCCGCCAAAATGTTCTTGATTCCTCTCGAATCTTTACTCACGAGAATCACTCATTTATGTCTTCGTTACATTACAAAAACACTATTTATCAAGCAACACATATCGTAAATATGACGTGATAAATATATGTGACGTGACGTATGACGCATGTGTTGGACGCGAGACGCTTTTTTCGCGCATGCGCATTGAACGTGAACTTTAAGTATCAACAGAGAGAAGACCGAGAGATGTCATGGCCTGCTTTTAGGTGATCTCTGAAAACGATACGCCCTCTATGAACACGGAAAACGTGGACATGAACTATAAAGCTAATGTCCATGAATGTTCTCAGAGGGTATAATGTGCACAATTTCTGGTTTTGTTCCGTGCTATGCACACGAAATGTCGGTACCCAAAGAACACATTGTAATCAAAATGGCATCATTTTGATGTCATAATTACATCAAAATAAAAGAAATCAAAATGACGATTTTTGGTTACAAAATTTGATGATTTGTTGACGATTATTAATATACGCAATAAATGGATTATTTCTCATTTATATTCGCTTAATTTCAAATAATCTGTTATTATTCTGAATTCCAACAAGGAATCCGGATTATTAAAAAAATTATTTTAAATTTAGTTTATTAAAAATTAAAGTGATCAATAGTGATGCCAGGAACAGGAAAAGGACATTACTCATACGCATATAAGCAGAGAGCTGTTATGTGGTTCTCTGATTGTGTGCATGTGACCACCTTTTTCTTATTTTCTTATTAATAATTAATACGTTTTGGTAATAATAATGTTAGATTTCTTAAAATTTGCTTTTATTTCTCCGCAGCAATAAATTCCAGAACTAATAACTCCATAATATCCCCCGATAATATCCCAGAATTACAAACATACATACAAGCAAGTACATCGCAAATTTATGAGAATGAAGCAACGAGTGGTAAGAAAAAATTTTATAAGCAAAAATAAAGATTACACTCGACAAAATTGAACTTTTTTTTGTACAAGGATAAAACCTATTATTTTTTTTAAATTTTTGTATGAGCTGAATTCAAGTCCGTTTGTAAAAATGCCTTATCACACTAGGATTTTGATAAAAACTAAGTTAAATATGGTATAATTTTAATTTTTTTTTATTTTTATGCAGTCGTAATTGAAAATTATAACTGATGAAAGTTATAATTTTCAATTACGATAAGTTTTATCCTTGTACAAAAATCTTGTATAGAATAACAATGTTATTTATTTAAAAAATCATTTTTTTGTAATTAATTACTGTTTTTTTGCGTTTCAGATTCTTCTTCATATAAATTATTTGAATTATAAAGATTTTTATAATTACACACGCACACACACATTTGTAATAATTATAAACATTTAATTAAATTTATTATATAGTTATACATAAATTACAAAAATATATACTATATATATATATATATATATATATATATATATACAGGATGAATCATAATGGTTGTAACAACCTTTTACCATTAGAGATCAATTACCGACTACAACTGTAATCAATTGAATGATTCATAGATGACAGCTGTTTGGATCGACCGTGTCTGCAGTAACGTACAAGCGAGTTAAATACTGTGAATCAAATAATATACATATTCTATGCATACTTTTCTAATATATTTAACTCTTTTATGTACATATTTTTCTTTCTACATGGTTTTTTCTAATAACGCGATTTCTTATTATTGTGAAACGTATCTGCCACATAAAAAGAGATATCTTTTGCATTCGTGTATTTTTTAATACGATTTTTTTTTAATAATGGCTTTTTAATACATAGAATTTGACGGCGATTTTTTTCATTCTTACACAAATCATTTTAACGCGTGAAAAGAGTTGGATTGGTAAAGATACAAAAGTATTCTTTTTTTTATAAAAAAATGCGTAATTCTGCTTTCTACAAGAATTATTCTGCTTATTATTAATTTTCTAAGTTATAACTTTTACATTCTTAATATCTACAGCAGAATATTTCTTGTAGAAAGTAGAATTACGCATTTTTTTTATAAAAAAAGAATACTTTTGTATCTTTACCAATCCAACTCTTTTTACGCGTTAAAATGATTTGTGTAAGAATGGAAAAAATCGCCGTCAAATTCTATGTATTAAAAAACCATTATTTAAAAAAAAATACACGAATGCAAAAGATATCTCTTTTTATGTGGCAGATATGTTTCACAATAATAAGAAATCGCGTTATTAGAAAAAAACCGTAGAAAGAAAAATATGTACATAAAAGAATTAAATATATTAAAAAAGTATGCATAGAATATGTATATTATTTGATTCACAATATTTAACTCGCTTGTACGTTACTGCAGACACGGTCGATCCAAGCAGCTGTCATCTATGAATCATTCAATTGATTACAGTTGTAGTCGGTAATTGATCTCTAATGGTAAAAGGTTGTTACAACCATTATGATTCACCCTGTATATATATATATATGTATATATATTGCGACGTTTATTCAATTCAATTCAAATAATTCGCGACACTCCTCGAGATGTTGGATGGGAGCGTGCGCGGGGGAGCAAAAACGCCGTCAAAAAAATAACGAAATTAATATACTCGCGTTCTGAAGAACAAGGATGAAGGAAGTTCTCGCGCGAGCCGCGGCGGAGCGGAGGCCGTTTCGATATCGCGATAAGTTGGGCGGTCTTTCAGGCATCAATTTTTCCACGAAACTCCAAAGAATGCGAAAAATAATAGCCTGCTTCGCCACGGGCCGACTAGCTCGCTTAACGGTAGAGGGGAGGGGTTTTGGGAGAAAGTCAATTGATTATGCGAGACTTCAATAATTAGAAATGCGACAGAATCAATGACAGAAATCGACAATCACGAGAGACTAACACTCAAATAAATTACGCGAATTTAACAAAGAAAGATAACAAGTTTATTACGAGAAAGATAAAATAACAATACGAGTGAATAATAATAAATCGATAGTAAAAAATGGATCGATATTAAACAATAAATCAGCAATCAATAAGAAGCGATAACTCAACTGAAATTAATAATTCCTCACAGAGACATTGATTCGCTATGATTTCCACTAAAAACGAGAACTAATCATACAAATAAAGTTGAAACGACGGTTCACAATAAATTCGAACGACATACGAAAGCGAAATATACCATACAATTAATCCTGGCACGAATAATGCGACGGTATTCTGAGCAAATATCTGCTCGAAATCGACAACTAATACGAGAGCGCTAAGACAATCCGGGTGTTTATCCAAGCCCGTTTTTATGGCCGGAGTTCGCAGGACTGAGCGAGACTTTACGGAATACAAGGGTTTTCGGCACGGAAATATTCGCGGATAATACTCAAACGATATCGGCAGTAATTTCGGCAGCCAGATTGACAACTTATCGCTACGGACTTTTCCTCGCAATTTCCTAGTTCGCAAAACAAAACGACAACTTAATAGCTCGACAGTCTAATGAACCAGAGATCGAAAATAATTAATACTTTTGCGAAGACAGATCTCGTATGCGACAGGCGAACGATATTTTCGATATTCGACGGCCGACGGCGGAGATTTTTCTCTGTCGATGTTTTGCCTCTTTCTTCCGCGCAAGCCGCTCAGATTTTACCCTCGCTCGTACTTTGGCGATTATTTCGCACCACGACAAATTCGACAGATACAAATTATCCTTTATTACGCTCTATCCGACGGCGTAATAAGCGCGACAAAGACGTAAATACTCTAATGCACGCAATACAATGAAATACCATAAACGCTCACGCGCACTCTTAACAATCGACGACGACATACACGAAATCCGACACACAACAATCGCCCTGAGACAATTTACGGGAATATTCCACGCGGCAACGATGGCGACCCGATAACACGGGCGGTGTACGCTTTTCGCGACCCTTCGCGCACGCGGTCGATATTCGGCGGTCAATAGCTACGCGTAATGAACACCCGAAACCCGGAGAGAGACGAACGTTACCTTATCAATTTAATGCCTACGACGCGAGTGTCCGCTTTTCCTCGGTCGCTTGCCTCCGATCGCCCGAAAATTCACAAAAAATATCGATGGCTCGGTACCGAGCCGGAATGATCGCGAAACACAAAAATGGCGACGGCGGCAGAACGGCCGACCAGTGGACTGAATCGCGTATGTGGCTCACAAATAAGAGATGGGCAATCTCACCGATACTTCTCCTCGCCCTGGGGATAGTCCTCGGCCTCGTCCTCTCGGGATGTCTCGAAATCAGCGACAACGACTTCACTTTACGATAACGAATAGACTAGAGCGACTAATTAGCTCGAGCTCCCGCACCAGAATGATCCTGGGATCTCGCGGCCCGGGATCGATAGCGGCGTCAATGACCGCTTAGTGGGGTGTGCAGCCCCGCGACCAATCAGGACACGGCACGCAAGAGGTCCTAGTGAGATCCTTGCGAGATCCGCGGCGCTTTAGCGCTTCGCGCGCAATTATGATTAATTTGAATTAGGTTATTGCGGGCCTAATAACGGGTCCGATGAAGATCTTGCTGTCGTCCTTCCCCGTAGGGATCAGGGGTGAGCAGACCCTCATCCTCTTGATCGTAGGAGGAGCGACATCCGGGGAAGCTACTTTCCGGGTCTCATTTATCGTCTTTCCGCTGTCGGCTATTGCCGGGTGCTTCGTTTCTGATTTTCCTTGGCTGGATCTTCCTCGATGTCTTTTCCTTGTCGAGTTTCCTCCGGTGGGTTGCCCGTTGTCGATACAATTGTCGTACAAAATAATAAAACATACTTAATTAGTAACAATACAAAATGACTAAATCGCTCGTCTCTCCGGGGAGCTCGATCATGCTCTCTCGCTGTGAATTCTGGCGCGGCCGCTCGGCCCGCGCCCCATTAAAATTATCGGGGCGGATGGACGCGCGACGGGACGGCAACGTCACAATATGCATCGTATATATTAAAATATGTATATGGTAAATATTTTATTAAAGTATTATTATGTGTGTCTAATAAATAAATATTATATTTAAATAAACACACAAAATTTATTATTATTATAATTAAAATGTAATAAAATAAGAGATAATAAGATAAAAAAATAATAATAATACTTGCGAGAAGACACGTTAAAAAACATATAATATATAACTTTATTTACTTAACACTACAAAATAATTGTAATTTTGTTTAACAATTGTAAAATAAGACATGAAGTGCAATTTATTACATTTTATATTTTGTCTTATTTTACAATCTTGTTAAATTAAATTACAATTATTTTACAGTGTTAGCTAAATAAGTAAAATTATATTTTAACGTGTCTTTTTTGCTTATTATTATTATTTTTATAAACATATGTAATTTTAAGAATAAAAGATATACATGTAGGACATGAAACTTCAATAGAGGTTTTATTTGAACCTATCGTGCTACTTTAGCTCCTACTGAAAGAGGACCTACTAATTTTGACTCGGGATCCTATAATGTCCCCACGGCAGCGTATCGGTGGGTACGATATATCGCTTGTCGTCGTACGGACTCAGAGCAATTTTCGTCTCGCGGGTCATGCATACTTGTTTAGATCGTATACACGACTGCTGACGCGTCATTTCAATCTCTTCGTTCAAGCACCGCATGTAATCGTCAAACGTTATCGGTCTCGCGACAACGTTGCTCTTGACGTCTTTAACTTTCTTCGTATCCTTTTTCCCATTCACTCGTAATGCGTACATCTTTGCTCTGAGTCCGACAAATTCGGTCATTATGGCACCGTTGTTTTTATCCTTCATCAGACCCGGTTTCTCTTTATTTTCAAGCGGTATACCGTACACATTATCCACTGCATAATCGCTCGTGTCGAATCTAACGATATCACACTTCATATTCTTATACACATCCTCACACTCAATGTGATATATGAGACTGTCCGTATCGGTGTACATTACCCGGCATTTGTCGCCATACATTGGCCTCATATACTCGTGATGAAATTCGTACAAACATGTCTTGGATATGTCGAGTATACACATACCCACGTAAATCGGTTTATCGAATTTCACCTCGAGTTTACGCAATTCCACAGCGATTAAGTTTTCCGAAAAAACGCTTCTGCTGTGGAAATTTGGTTTCGTGATCATCGCCTCTGTGCCGTATCGTCCGTCCCATTTTCTTAATAATTTTACATCGACATGATTCCGCACATTTTCCATCGTTTTGTCAAACACCGCATTATTCATTAATTTATATAAATTTTTTTCGAAATCATTTTTAGCCGATGTTCTAAAATGTGTATTTAATTTTATGTATTTTCGAAGCCAGGGAGATTGAGAAAACTGTAAAATTCGATGTATTTTTGTTACACGAAGGCCGTGCCGCGTACACTGCTGCAGGTTGCGGTAGTGTATCACGTAACGCTTCTTATCATATAACGTTGCAAGTAGCTTGAATTCCCGCTTGCCAGGTGGTTCGTCGCGTGTCGGGCAAAACGGTAGGTCAGTGTGCGCATCGTGAAGATGTTGCGGGTACTCGAGGTCCACTTCGAGGATATAGCCAGTAGGCGAATCTAGCGCGATGGATGATATGTCAAAATTGGACACGTCGTCGACCCATCGAAAATCGGCATAGGGTAATGGTTGACACATTGCCCATCCGTACAAATTATTTACATCAAAGTACATCAAGTACGATGACGGTTTCGATGGATCATACGACTCCATGTACTTGTTATTAGCGCGAGCGTATCTACCCGAACATTGACTCAGACCGCCGCGTATACCACGTTCGATGAACATAACCATGTCGATGTCTGTAAGCAGCTCGAATGTGATCTTTGTATGCTTCAACATGGCGTCCCACGTGTATCCGGGGAGAGTAGAGTAATACGCGGGGTCGAGTCCGTAACTTTCGATACATTTATCTCGAAAGTTTTCAAAAATGTCGGCTAATAACAAGACATCGATTTTGAGGTACAAGTCGCTATATTCGCCTAGCGTCCGAAGGGAAAATCGCGTCCAGACATTCTCGGCGTGCGCGTAATCGCTCTCGGATACAGTTTCACCGATCAAGGAACTGTAAAACGATTCGCGCGGTGGTAAACATGTATCTTGCAACCTGTCAACGGAATCGATGTATGGAAATACACCTTTTCGTGTTAACAAATTGAACTGTTCTGTAGATAAATTTTGAAATTCCGATTTAAAAATTTTGAGTTTATCTTTGTCTAAAGATGATGCCAATTTATCGAGACTCGATGCCAGAAAATTGAATGAATCGATAAAACGTAATTTTACATGATTTTTACGTAATTTTACATGATTTTTTGATTTTTCTTTAAAAACAACCTTTTTGGTAAACGAAATATATTTCTCTTTCGTTATCGGTAATAACTCGATTTTCCCTTCGTACGCTCTGTCTATTTCCTCGATAATAAAGTGTGAGTCATAACCGGATAAATTATGAAAAACTATCGGAATCAAAAAAGATTCTTTATAATGTAAATTACAATTTGAATGCGCGGGACCTCTGTACTGCCCGGTCAGATGGCAATGATCGCGATTGCGTTTATCGTCTTGCGCGAACGGTTTTTCGCATATATGACATTGAGTGGCGTTACGGAATTTCTCCGACTCATCGGATGTTAAATTTATGGGAACATTTGTTTTTAAAATATTGTTAACGCGAATTGCTAAATTTTTGAGGTCTGCTGCGAACAATGCTATACAATTGACGCTACGATGTGAATAATACGCTGATAATGATTCGTCGAACGAACAATGTACATAATAAGCTATACTAAATACTTGATGATGTTGGTACAATTGTTCTTCTTCCGTCTTGGCCAGAACGCATTTCAAGTCGGCGTACACGATGAATGGAAGCCGCTTCTTCCAATTAAAGTTGTTGAACGATAGCCACTTGTCCTTATGGCTCGGCAATCGGACAGTGCAGTCGTTCATCTTTCCGCAGTTGACCGTATGCGACTGCAACTTGGCGTCTGAATAAAAATAATGTAGACATCTGTAAAAGAAAAAAATTTTAATTAAGATTTATGTAACAAAGTGTATAACTTATAATTATTCAAATAATATAAAATAAACTTACCGGTCGCAGATATATATTTGACCATTGTGTTTGCTCAATTGCGAGCTCAGGAGCCGGGATAAATTCTTGATCCAAGCGAAGTGTCCTACGCTGTTGTTGTCTTCAATGTACAGTAGATTCACATGCTTGTCCCGCTTCTGCTGTGAAGGTTGTAGCGGGACAATAATGTTCTTGTCTTCGATGCTGTACACATTTATAGAAATGTCATTTGCATGTTCAAATTTCTTAATCTGATTCAGAGTCACTGGAAACTCAATGTCCTGGAGATTCAGCACTGTCTCGTAATTCGGGTATGATGATTTCCGTTTCGCGTTCCTTTCGGCGGGATATAGTGCGGCGACCACTGCCCACGCGAAACACGCATTGTCTTCAGATTGTACGTTAATCACCGCTCTTTTCATCATAATCTCCCGCGGCAATTCAATGTGACATCCCACGCGCAAAGGATTGTACTTGTTAATATTTACGGTCAAGTTCAGTATTCGCGACAAAGCCCACCCGCTATCGCGTTCCTGAAACTCTTCCAGAGACGCTAGAGTGGTCTCGATGACGCGCCGTTCGTACCACTCGCGTAAATCGGATGTGCGAAAGAGTTCATAGTTTCTCGTATCCACACTTTCATTGGCGCGTTTATCTCCAGTCACAAATTCACCGTTAAATATAGTGTTCACTTTCACATTATAATGTTTCTTCATAACGTCCTGCACATGTTCTATTACAATGTCTTTGGCGTCATCGAGAAATTGGCGCGGTTCAATGTGATTATAGTTTATCACCGCACCAGTCGATACGCGACTCTCGAACGCCGTATCAATTTCGCGCCATACAAGTCCATTTTGACGCGCGCTACATCCGGCACCCGCGAAACGTCTACGTACCGAATTTTTCAACTCTTTGAGGCACGCGATCCGAGCACTCAGTGAGTGTCGATTTCCAATCGATAATTGCGGTCGTTTGATTAGCTCTTCCAGCAACTCGATGTACTTGTCGCATAGTTGCTTCCACTCAATGTAGTCTTTTGAATCAAGCAAAGCGGATTGCTCTCGCAAAATTTGCTCCTCCATATTGCTAACACACACTTGCAAAATTTCCAATGACTGTTCTGATGCACTTTAGCTACTGGTGCGGTGCGTCTCTTTATCGCGATTTATATATCGTCTCATGCATTCATCGAACATTCTAGAATGATTTCATCGAATGGGAAGAAGAATAGAAGTTAAAGGCGTCAAGAGCGAGACACCTCCGATTAGACACAGTACGATTGGACACAACTGGCTTTGATTGGCTAATCTTGCTTGATCGTGCTGGTTACCCTAAGCATCGGTCGATATAATTGGCTGCGTCTAATCGTACTGTGTCTAATCGGGCAATCCCCATCAAGAGGGGTTTCTCGGCCATCTTGCAACGTTGTCGCGAGACGACGATAACGTTTGACGATTACACTCGCTGCCAAAGCTGTCAGATCTCCGCCGCAAGCAACATGCAACACCTCATGGAGGGGACAACGGGGATGCGAGCTTAACGTACGTGTGAGCTCGGCGCTTCTCCGAGACTGAGCATAGAGGACATCATAAGCGAAATCTCTACGGATCGAGAGACGATGAATCCTACGATCGTCGGCGCTACTCCGACGACCACGGCAACGACGACGACGACGACGACGGCTGCGAGAATAGCTACGACGCCGCTCGCTCCTGATACCGCGGATCTATGCGCCTTGAAGCGCATAGACGGAGCGTTAATCATGAATCGTCGCTTGTACGTCGCGCATAAATGCAACGTGTGGCCTATCGATATGAGGGAGAGACGCTACGGAGCGCCCTTCTCGTTCACCGACTACTTCAAGTTCCTCCCCCGCAATCTCACTCGCATATCGGCCATGTATCAGAGACCCTTGGGTGATATCGCGATATTCGCCGGCGACTACGTCTACCTCGCCGATTCGAATTTTCATCTTAAAGCGGGATGGCCGAGATCCGTCGAATATGTCGGATTTCCCTGTGACTCTAGGATAAACGCCGCGATAAACACGCACGCCGGACGCAGCTACGTTATATACAACGACGATAAAATAGCCGAGATAAACAACTGCGCGATGACTGCTACGAGGCACGGCGCGGGATACGTTTTCCGGGATACCATCTGCGATAACGGCGGCCTTCCGTCACGCCGACGGTAATCTCTATTTCCTGAAGAAACGCGAGTATTACGCGTACAGCGAATTCACCGACGCCATAATCTCGACCGATTCCTTCAATTTTCGTACACTGGGAATAGAATGCCCTGCCGATTCTGCATCGATTGAGCGAACTCAGCGTCTCCAAGCTGTATCGTCTGGAATACGCATTCTTCGAAAGACCGCGCAACGACGGCGACGATGACGACGACAACTAAGATTGGGAAATCCTGAAACCTAACGTTAAGATTACATATATCGCACTATTCTAAACAGCTTCCGCTGCATTAATTAACGCGCATATGTCGAGAAAAAAGATATCGAAACGACGATCGAGATCGCGTCGTATATAAGACGCGTCTCGATCGCTGCGCGCAACATTTCCAGCGATATTCCGGATTAACGCGCGTCTGATTCTAAACGAGCGTCTCCGACGAATCTCTCTCTCCTTGCGATAACCGACGCTAACGACGTCGCTGCCACCGCCGCCGCCGCTGTGTTTTCCTGCGAACATCGAAACCTTGTTCGCGAGATCGATCATGTTCGCGGACTCGGACAGGAGTATCGCAGAGTGTTCGGGGAACCATCCGCGATGCCCGCGACTCTGTCGGCGCCGCCGACGACGGGCCCCTTCGCCCCGCCGCTCCCGCCTAACCGTCGAGATGACTATGCGGCTTCCGCCAAGGACGAGGATACCTCCCGTTCCGACACCCCGCCCGTGATCAAGAAAGCTCGACTATACACCGAGGACGAATGAGTATGCGCGAATTACCCTACCCGCTTTCGATTTCCGTCGCGATCGATTATTTCGTATAATAGCGTCGCCTTTTTCTCCGATCTCGACAGGTGGAATAAAAATTGGCTGTTCAAACGCGAAATCAATTTTGCGAAACATCCGATTCGCATATTGGGAAGACGATATCCGCTGACCAAGACGGCGTACAAGTACGTCGACATCGCCGTAGTCGTGAAGCGCGAATCTCAAGTCGATATCGTCCTAGGAGACTGCCATGGAAAGGAGATATCTCTAACACCCGACATGTGGAAAGATCTGCTCACTCTGCGCAACGACATACTGTCATATTTCGAGAACGATTTGGACGAGGCTGTAGCGTGCCCTCCGGCGTCCATAATCGTCGGAACCGTGACGCTTCGATTCGGCAAGATAAACAATCTAAAGACGTTGCGATTCGAGATGCAGAAAAATCGCACAGTTATATCGCATCGTCGCGTCGTTGACCGGCATATTCGAGATCGGCAAGTTATCGCGTTTCTTACACTGAAAAAAGGATTTAGTAATAAACACTAGAATTTAATAACAATTATTAAATGATTTGGGCAAATAGTTCTAATTAAATGTGTGGTAACAATTACAAAAAAAATTAATTGAGTAAATAAAATATTCAGTTTAGACTACTTAAATTTAATTCATTCAATTATAAATTTGATTCGTTTAACAAAACTTTAATAACTGGAATCAAATTTTGATAGCAGAAAATAATATATTTAATAAGTATTATCAGATATTTGGTAATTTTAACTAAATCATGATAGCGAGAAATTAAAAAATTAAAATTAAAATTAATTAAAATCAAATTTTTTTATTATTAATTTTTTATTTATAATTTATACTTTCATATTGCACTTTACATTTTAAATAGGTAATGAACGGATTATTTTTGTTTATTTGCCGGACATTTACTTATCCAACTTATAAAATCAATCTAATATCTGAAACTCTTGCATTGAGAAATCAGAAATTAAATTGAACAATATATTTTTAATCTTATTTGTTACTCTTTGCAAACTTTATATAATTCTCATAACTAAGCTTAAATGCGAGAAAGATAGCGCATTTCACGTCGCATAGCGATGAATGAACAAACATATCCTTGCGCGCTTGCGCGAAACTTTACACGACTATCTTACCAAAATTTGTTAACAATTACCAATTATTTTATCAAACATGTTGACCTAACTAAATCATTTAATAATAGTTATCAAATATCTAATAATCTTAAATTGAATGATTTAGTAATATTTATAACAATTTAATACACATTTAATAACAATCATCAAAGATTTTATGATAAGTATTAAATATTTAATAATTATTACTAAATTGTTTAATTGATTCAATTGCAAACAAAATTTGTTTGCAACCAGACCAATTGAAGATTTAGTAATTATTATCAAATATGGTAATATTTATCAAATATTCAATTAAAATTCACAACTAAATATATTTGATAATTATTACCAATCAGTTTTTTCAATGTAGATATCGCGACGGAGACCGACAATCCCGGCGATATTCTGGACGCGATTTGTCGACACGAGCACTTCAACGCAAACGATCGATTGGGAATTACACGCTCTACTATTCGGACTCTATCACAATTTGTAAAACTCTACGCGCGAATCCGTCGTCCGTGCGCGCGCACGATGAATAAATGTATCGATCTCGAACCTTATACTTATCCGTATAACGGCGTTCGAATGAAACGAATCGATCGCGAATACCGATATTATTCTCGACGTATGTATCTACGCATGTAACTTTATGATATAATAAAAAATTTTACGCGTAATTTATTCTCTCTCTCCTCGATTTACATCACCCTCGTCTCTCCTCGATACGCATCGGATTTCTCTCCTCGACTTACGGCGAATTCCTTCCTCCTCGAAATACATCTAATATATAAATCATATATATTATATAAATGATATATTATATTTCTTCTTCGACTTACGTCGAATATATCTACTTTTTTATTAACGTCGACTTTATCTCTATCTCTGTCTCGCGCATCGAAACGACGCGAGCGGGCGAAAGCGCCCGCGATCGCCTATCGCGCGCGTCCGACGGGACGATCGTCGCTTATCGCGCGCGTTTGGCGCGCCGCGTCTAGAGACGCTCCCGACGCGTCGTATCCAGGGACGCTTCCGACGCGCGCGTCATCGGACACGCGCGCTCTCTCGCTCTCTCTCTCGCTCTCGCTCTCGCTCTCTCTCTCTCTCTCTCTCTCTCTCTCTCTCTCTCGACGACCGCGACGACGGTTACGGACGATATTGCCCCGCCGATCTTCGTCGATCTGCAGGGCTTCGTCGTCAACGAGCGATTCGTGATAACGATACTCACGAACGGCAGAGATCTGACACATCACTTTTGCGCGCCGATATCGTGGAATCTGTTGATGAAGAGCGAGAAGTCGCAGGCCTGTTGGCTGATTCTGAATCATCACGAATTCCACTGGATCGACGGATACGTGGAGATGGCACGCGAACGAGATCATTCGCGACGCGATATATCGCGCGTCGAGGAATCTCGAGTCGAACGCCGCGGTGATGATCTACGTCAAGGGCCACGAGAAGAAGTGGCTGACCGACAGGGAGAGGTTACGGAGCAGCGCGACCTGACGATCGAGACCATCGACGCCGATTATGAAAATATTGGACCCCTACGAACGTTAGCTTCGACTTGCGTCTATCGCTGCGCCTACCACGCGAAGAATTGCGCCTTGGAAAACGTGTGTAAACTACACAACTGGTGATTGGAGAGACGCGATCAATTGCGCGATATGTGAACAGAGACGCATCGCGCGTGTATACGCGCGATGATTCGCGCGCCTCATACATTTCCCGCATTGTAGTTAGTTTTACGCATACTCTTATCGACTTATTAGCAGGTAATTTATCACACCTCATGCGTTTCCCGCATCGTAGATTAGTTTTATGCATACTCTTGTCGACATATTAACGACTAACTTTTTTATCGCGCGCGCGTCGATTTATCGTCTACCTAGAAAAGTATTATTAATATTTAGAAAAAATAATATTAATATACTTAGAAAAATAATATTAATACTGAGAAAAATATCATCAGACGCGCGTGCTTTCTCGCTCTCTCTCTCTCGCTCTCGTTCTCTCCCTCTCTCTCGCTCTCTCGCTCTCGCGCTCTAGCTTTCTCCCTCTCTCTCGCTCTCGCTCTCTTCCTCTCTCTCGCGCTCTCTCCCTCTCCCTCTCTCTCGCTCTTGCTCTTGCGCCAACCCTCCCTCCCGCTCGCTCCCTCGTTCTTCCCTCGCTCCCTTGCCCTTTCTCGCCGCGTAACGTCACGACACTCCATTTACCCACCTGACGGCGAGCGGCTCCCCTCGCCCTACCCACTCCCCCTACTCATCCGCGCCGCCGTCACTCTGCCCCTCAGATATCTTTCTATCTCTCTCCCTCTTAAGGCGCTCTCTCTCGCACCAATGGGAAAATCGAGGTAGAAACGGCCTCTCCTCCCTACTCACAAACGTTATTACATTTATTTAATTTTGAAAATTGTATCGATCATATGCATAATTGGTTATGCGAGAATACGTATCTCGTGAATGAAAAATTTAAACAATTTGAAACTGTATTACAACGTAGTAATATTACTACTGTATGCGATGCTGCAAAAACGAGACACGAGAGTGATGTTTTTAACAACGAATCATTAATCGATTGTGAATTATTAACATATGCTGTAAATGATATTCTTTACGATGCGTGCAATAAATAATTATTTTTATTCCATTTATGATTTTATTTCTTTCCTTCCATACTTATAAGAATAGTTGACAATGAAGAGGAGTCTACGACATTAGAATATTATTTCTTTCGTTTTTCTTTGCGTTTCGTTAATCTTGTGTGTTACATTAGAGCAATGGCTGAAGACGACGTTATTATCATCGATGATAAAGACGAAGATGTTATCGTCGACGAGGATATTGAAGAAATTATTATCATTGATAATGATGATGATAACCAAATGGATATTGATAATCTAGATGAATCAGACGAGGATGGGTCTGATATAGAAATAGAACCCTTGGAGGACAGTGAATACGATAGTGACAATAGTGACGATAGTGATGAACTATTACAAAAGAAACAGCGAAATTTAAGCTTACCTGAGATAATAACATTAGACGAAGCAACAAAGATATGTTGCATTTCCTATTATTATATGGAAAATGGATCGAAATATTGCATTGAATGTTTTTTTAGACTATCGTATCTGTTTCTAGAAGCTAGATCTGTTCGGGAACATAGAACCGCAGTTTATTCCAATATAGATAATCCAATATGTCATGCAAAGAGTGCAAAAAATGTTTGCATCAAATATTGCCCTGCAACATGTGTCCTATTTGCACACATTAAAATAGATGAGCCATGGATAACATTGTAAGTAGCTTTCAATTTGTAATATGTCAAAAAATATCCTAAAATAAATTATTAAAAACGAATGAAATGTGTGCCTTTTCTATTCCAGGAGCGGCCCCCTCAGCCCGACACATCACCCCTTTAGACTTCCAGGAGCGGTCTCCCCCTGGCCCGGCGCACCCCACCCCCGCCCCCAATATTATTAAATTTTATTATATTTTTAAAATTTTATATTTTATTATTATTTTATATTTTTTCATTATTATTAATTTTAAGTACACACACACAGACACACACACACAACACAACAAATGTATTAACACACATTTAATAAATGTTTATTTTATATTTGTAAAAAAAATCTAATTATTTACGCGCCTCTCCTTGCGCTCCCATCCCTTGTGCTATCTCTCTTGCGCTAGTTGTAAGTCTCTCTCACACGCGTTGTTATTCTCGATATTATCATTCTCTTTTGCATCGTTTTCGCGCTATCGTTCTCTCTTTCACGCGCTAATTGTAAGTCTCGCGATATTATCGTTCTCTCTCGCACGCGTTGTTCTTGCGCTATTGTTCTCCGTCGTACACGTTATCTTCGCGCTATCGTTCTCTCTCGCACGCGTTGTTCACAATATTATCGTTCTCTCTCTCATATACTTGTTGCTCACTTTACGTTGTCTTTCTCACGTCCGTCTACTTTGCATCGTCCTTGTCCCATGATGACGTCCTTGTCACACGTTAATGACATCCTTGTCGCACTCGTGGCACTATCCTTTTCCCACACGTAGCGCTATACTTCTCCCACCACCGTCTTCTTTTCGCGGATCCCCCTTCACTGCGCGGACCCCTCATCCATCGGTCGTGTCGCGGATCCCCCTTGCCCGCGCGGATCCTCTCGTCAATCGGTCGCGCCGCGGATCCTCCTTGCCCGCGCGGACCCCCTCGTACATCGGTCGCGTCACGGATTTCTCTTCCCCGCTCATGACGTCTCCCGCCGCGCACCGCAATTCCTCCTTCCCCGTGCCTGATGTCACTCACGCGCATCACGGTTCCCCTCGCGCCTCACCCCCTCTGAGAGAACCTGAGTTAGAACCCGCCTAGTCTTACTACTTACATGAATTCATATATTTCCTTTATAAATAAATAGCGTAATTGTTACATTGATTATGTGTGTAATTTTACATACTTTTTTTTACAGTGTACCTTGAATTTTAGATTCTGTTTTTGTAGATCATCCGAGTTTCGGATTTGCTTTTTTAAAGCTATTTAAATTTTCGACGATATAAAATATAAGGCAACGTTAATAATGTCATAAATGCATCGTCAAATCTGCTCTCGGGCGATATTCTCTTGTTCGTCAAGCCATCAAACATGATTTTATTTTTGGTAATTTTTTCGGAAAATGAATCTACAGAATCTAATGAATCTAATGAAGATACAGTACATTCAGTGCTATTTCCTAGTATTTTCTGCCCACCGGCCAGACGATACAACGATTGAATGATCTCTCGTGGCAGACTTGTTGGCCGAATACATAGGTCATCACAATGATGCGGATACAACAATAGTATATTCTTTCTGCACGCTTGTATTATTTTACACGCGGGAATGTAATCAAGCAACTTAGAGAACAGCATGTTTTCGAAGCGAGCTATTACCTCGGCGTGTCGCACCAATCGTTCGAGACCCGCGCGTCTACGTAACTCCTGGATATCGGACACAGCCAGACCAACCATTAGATTCATTAGTATCACTGTCACCAGAATAACGAAGCAAAAAAGTATAAAATACGCCGTGCCAGGATACTTAAGATCTTTATCGAAGAAAGCGTCTTCGAATTCCAGCTCACCGGACATCATAATTATTATCTTAAGCATACTGAGCAGCGGATCAGCGAAGGATTTGTAATTGCCGTGAAGCACACAAAAGCTAAGAGAGAAGCCGATTATAAGACAAAAGTAAGCTGCGAGAAATTTGAAGAAATTGATGGACACTCGCGTAAACATTTGTATATAGAGGCCAAACATGGGAAAATAACCGAGCACAATCATCAGCTCGATCCAGGCCAGCAGAATACCTAGGGCAGCAACGTGATGTTGCCATTGACGCTCTGGAGGAATCAAGATGATGATGGATGCCATGATCACGCTGCACTGTAACCAGTTTTCCCAGCGTTTAGCATAATAGCAAATACCATAGGTAATTTGGATGATCTCTTTACTCGCAAATAAGCAGGTAATAGTTAATACTGGCCAGAAGAAGACTTTGCTCAGTTGTTCATCGTGCCACAAATATGTCGCGCAGACGAAACCGGTAAAGAAAGCGACAAAGATTAAATGGAACAGAAGACTGAGCAGGAAAAACTTGCGAATACGCTTCCACTTGAAATGGAGAAAACTCTCGCATAATGGATGCTTCAATATATGACCTTGACCGACTTGTACTAGGCAGAGCACCAGGTCCGTTTCGTTGCGACTGCCCAATGGAACCAATGGTCGAAAATTCACTCGCAGTTCACGGTCCATATCGCCAAGCTCGTGAGCGTGTAATGAAACTGCTTGATCGAGACGCGTCTCAAATCGCGATAACACCTCCGGAGTATGGCGTACGATGAAGCTAAGAGCGGTGACGCCGTCTTTAGTACGCGCCATTACGTTGCCACCATTTGACAACAACATTTCCACTATATACGAGCTCTCGTTCAAAGCAGCGATGTGCAGCGGCGTGTAACCGAATTTGTTCGCCTCGTTAACTGATGCGCCTGCCTTTTTAACAAAAAAATAATTTTATTAATTCTATCGTTAGAATAAAAATCATTATTTAAATTTTTTTATTACATAAATTGAATTACTTAATGTAATTTATTAAAAAATCTGTTTAAAATGTCAAGTTAATTTTTTTATTATTTTAATTAAGAAAAGATATTCTATTTGTGAGTTAAGGAAATTTTCATTTACATACTTTTATTAAAGTCTTGATCAGTTCGCTGCTTTTCCGGGCACTTGCAACCGCAGCATGTAGAGGAGTGCATTCTTCATTGTCCCTTGCATTCACCCTTGCACCAGCGCTAATCAACACGTCTATCGTCTCTGAAGATTGGGCAAGCGTTGCCAAGTGCATTGCCGTTTGACCACTCGAGTTTCTTATCTCAGTTTTTGCGCCGGCATTCAACAGTAATTTGCTGCAGTAGACATAGCCCAAACTAGCCGCCACATGCAAAGGCATCTTTGTATAATCCTATCAACGAATCGTAATTAATTCATTGAAGATATCTTGAAGAATCCCGAAGAGATACGTTACTTTGGTGAGAAAGCAATTGTTTTTGCATAATTCGTTGTATCAGATAATTAGTAGCTTGCCATTTTAATTTTAAACTAGCAGCAATTTTTATTTTAAAATATTACATTCTCACTAAATTTATGTTTAAATTGTGATTGTGATAAAAAAGTACCTGTGGATTATTAGGACAAGCACCTGCTTGCAGTAGAGTTTCGACACAATCCACAGCATTGTTCAGTATGGCGTAACAAAGTGGACTTCTTCTGGCATTCACATCTGCGCCTGACTTGATCAAGCATGTAACAGTAGCATCGCAACCAGCTGCAGCAGCGCAATGCAACGGGGTGCATTTTTTTTCGAAATCCCACTTACATGGATCAGCACCATGTTTCAATAGCTCCTCCACTATCTTCGTGGACTTGGCGCATGCTGCCAGATGTAGCGGTGTCCTCGAGATAGTGGAAATGTGTAATTTTTATCAATAATTTATTATAATTACAGGCTTAATTGACTAATTAATCAAGGTGTCTGATAAACTACTGCTAGCTAGTATAAAATATCATAATAGATAAATTATGGTTTTCAAAAGTTCAACTTCAATTTTTTATGACAAATTTTTAGACGTCTATACAGGATGGCCCCGAACATTCCAGCCAGATTTTGAGATCTTACAGGAAATTTAATTCTGGACAACAAATTTCGTATAAACATGGGTCGAAAAATGCTTCCTTAAGAAATTATCGCTAAAAAACCTCTGATGAAGGAAAAGCAAAAGATGAAAAGAAAATGAAATAAAAAGAAAATGAGTTTCTTGAAAAAAAAACGATAAAAATAAAAAATAAAAATCTTTTTCTTTTATGAAAATAAAATAATTTTTTTTTTAACTAACTTTTATTTTATTTTCATAAAAGAAAAAGGTTTTTATTTTTTATTTTTATCATTTTTTTCAAGAAATTTATTTAGTTTCATTTTCTTTTTATTTTATTTTCTTTTCACCTTTTGCTCTTCCTTCATCAGAGCTTTTTGAGCGATAACTTCTTAAGGAAGCATTTTTCGACCCATGTTTATAGGAAATTTTTTGTTCAGAATTAAATTTCCTATAAGATGTCAAAGTCTGGCTGGAATGTTCGGGGCCACCCTGTATATTATAAGTGCTATAAACCTTCCATTACTGTCCCTCGTTGAAACTGGCACGCCTTTTTCTAACAAAGCCTTAACTATTTCTGCATGACCTAGCCAGCTAGAAATCAGTAGACACGTATCCGGCCATTCTGGAAGTAGTTGTCCCGGAATCGGAATAGTCGCTGCTCTATTTTCGTCCATCAATATAATCTTTTGCTTAATTCTGTATGTCAAGTTTTAAATTAATTATACTAGATAGTTAATTAGCATATAAAATTATGAAGTATTAAAATATTAAATTTTATAATTAAACATTTTATTATTTTACTTATATAAAGTATCTTTTTATATGTAAAATAGATTAAATAAAATCATCAATGTAGAAATAGAATGATTTTTAACAACAGAAACAATTTTTATCAACAGAAATATACAACATCAAATAGGAATATACACACAATAAATTATAAGAAGCATGACAAATTCTATTTAAAATTCTATTTTTTTATCTTTATTAATTTAATTATTTTTATTCATTTATTTTATCTTAATGCAACACGAATAAATTTGAGACGCTAAGATCGTTCCGTACTCATCTACGAACATGGGCGATATGCGAGCCTCATTTTTGTTGAGAGTCACACATCGAAATTCCTCCAGAATCTTTTGTAGAGCATCGCCATGAAAAGTAGGAATCAGAGATAAAGCTATGCCGCCTCCCGGAAGATTCGATAATGCTACTTCGATTTCCTCCTTGCTCCAAGGTTGTTTTTGTGTTGTCGACTCGTCTTGTGATGAGTGACATATGACAGATTCCAAGCTGCTCTCGGAACTGCTATATGTCTGCGGATATGATATCCGGCTCATCCAAATATTCTCATTTCTTTTCTAAATATAATCTACATCAAGACAAAAAAATCGAAAGACCATCGATTGGTTCTTTCTTCTGACCTTATTCATAATGTTGTATCTCTTGTTTTTGGCAGTCTGTATCCTCGACGTTGTTTCTCGTGTCAAATGACTGCCGAAGAATCCCTCGAAGTTCTTCTTACTCAGATTCGCCAAAGTAATGTATTTCTTTGATCTCGTATTCCTATAAAGATACCCGGATCAAATAAATTGACATACACACATTATAGTCACATTACAAATTGATATAGAAATTGATCTTTTGTAGTTGAGAAACAATTCAGGCTGTCACTCATCATTTGATTTGATATAGCAACTGGAATGGCGAATGATAGGCGATAATAACTATTTATGTTTTATTTGATGTTTTGTCCTCGTCGCCAATTCTGTTGAGTTCGTACGAAATTACAGACTCGCATTAATATTCGGATACTATGATGTGCGAGATATTATTGCTGTTATATTTGCTTACAATAATGTTAACGAAGTAATTGTGGTATCACGTATTAAAGTGAACGTAGTTGGAAAAACATAAATTTTATTTATTTAATATACATATGTTTGTAAATAACAAAGTATAAGTGAAATAATATACAAATTTCATGTCGCAAAAATATTCGGACACTAAAAAAAATTACATTAATTTCGTATAAAATTATTTAAAAAATATTAATAATAATAATAATAATAATATAGTGAGTATTAATACTTTGTTGGAAAATCATTTTATTTAATAACTTCGTGTAATCGTTTTGACATATTAGAAATAATTTTTTCTAAATATTCCTGCGTAATACAGTTCCACTCTTCTATTAAATATTATTCTAATTCTGGTACTGTTTTATGAGCATTTTTCGAATATTACGATCTAATTGATCCCATAAATTTTCAATGGGACTTAAACGATTGAGGTGGTGGGTGCAGCACTTTAAGACAATTATATATAGTAAATATTCTTGTACTATTTTTGATTTATGTTTCGGGTCATTGTCTTGATAATATTATATATAAAAACCATGGATACATCGACAGAGTAGCTCGAAAAAAACCATACATAAACGAGAAGAATAAAAAGAAGAAATTGACTTCCGTTAAAAATTATGTTTTGAAAGATCAAACGTGGTGGAATAATGTAATATTTGCTGATAAAAGCAAATTTAATCTTTTCGGTTCAGATTGGCGTAAACAAAATGAGGAATTCCAAATCAAAAATTTGAAAAAACCGACAGTGAAACATGGATGTGAAAGTTTAATGGTATAGGATTGTATTTCGATGGCAGACATAGGTGAATTAGTGTTCATCCATGGCATTCTAGATAAATGCAAATATCTAAATATTTTAAAACAGAATTTAATCAAAAGTCAATCGCCGAATTTAAATCCCATTGAAAATTTGGGATTAATTTAAATCGTATTATTTAAAAAATAGCTATAAGAATAGAAAACAACGTTTAATAGAAGAGTGGAACTGTATTACACAGGAATATTAAAAAAAATTATTTCTAATATGCCAAAGCGATCACACGAAGTTATTGAACAAAATGGTTTTTCAACAAAGTATTATTAATACTTACTATAATATTTTTTAAATAAGCATATTTCATACGAAATTAATGTAATTTGTTTAGTGTCCGAATGTTTTTGCGACATGAAATTTGTATATTATTTCACTTATACTTTGTTATTTACAAATATATGTATTAAATAAATAAAATTTATGTTTTTTCCAACTACGATGTTCACTTTAATAGATGATATTGTAAGCAAATATAACAGCAATAATATCTCGCACATCATAGTGTCCGAATATTAATACGAGTCACTATATATAAAGGTTCTTGCTTTCACACAATTTAATTCTAGACTCAGAAACGTACAGTGGCGATCCGTTCATCGCGAGGTTTAACGAGAGAGAGATTCCTTCACGCCAATATCGGCCGCATCCGATAATAGATTGGTATGACGCCGTGATAGATTGATATCGAAAATAAAGGCTCGCGAATCACGAATAATACGCGACCCTAACATATATAAGATAATCAAAAAGAAAAACTCCCATCCTCTCTAGGAAACAATTACTATTAATTTTCATTCGATTTTCCTCGAATAATGTAATATAAAAGTTCAAAGAACTTCAATCTAAGTACATTATTTTTTAGATTTTTATAAACAATGAAAAAGATTAATACCTGATTTAGCCACGATGATATATAATTCTATCTATGTAATTCTTGTACAGATTCTATCAGTTCATTTTGTTCGTGACAGCCGAGAGAGAGAAGAAATCGCTGAAAATTTTGGAAGAGGAGTTTATAAACAATGTGGCGAAACTATCCGAAGAACGGTATCGTGAACAGGATGCAGGCGTTTCACTAACTGCTTGCAAATCTGTCCCTGTAGACCGATATACAATTGCCTCGGTAGCAGCAATCAGTGATTATTACAACCAGTGTTGATGGGGTAAGAAAATTTGCAATATTAAGAGTGACCTCGAATCTCGAAAAAATATAGCGGAATGGATCATGTATTAAAACGTGAATCAAATCTCAATGAAAATTATGACAATATATTCCTCAAAATTTATCTTAGAATAGAAATTGTATTGAAATTTCTTTATAGAGATTTTATTATTATTATTGTAAGAATTCAATATTTTTAAATTTTCTGTTTAACATTGATATTTTCATTTTTAAAGGATGTGGCAACATACCAAAAATCCATTCTTCCGGTCAAAATGTAGGTTTCAGCGATTTTGATATTGCTGATACAAATCTTCGCTGAGGCTGTCATAAGTAGCAGTCATCTCAATATACATTGTTTGCCATACGAGTACGAGTCAACGTGATAATATATCAATGATGCTCATTATCGACGCGTTTTATCGTTTTTATCGATGTCTCGACTAATGCATAAAAAAATTATGATTTTATATTTCATAAGATAAAACTTTTATAAACAAAAATTTTTCATGCAACGCATAATTTAAAATTTATGTACACTAGAAGAAAAATTAATTTGATCCATGGTATTAATTTAATGTACGATTAATTTGTAAATATTAAGATACTTGTGTATGTAAATTGATAGTAAATAAATTATTCAATCGCGAAAGATACTGCAATATTCAAAGATGAAATAAAATATTTTTCTATATTCATTGTCATATTTATATTTTTTTATTTACAAAACACAAAATGCCTGCTGCGGGATAAAAACATTTTTAAACATATTTCTAAAAATCTTCAATCAGCATATCTTGATAAACTAATCTTTGTTATTTATTAATCATTTTTTTAAATTATTTAAATATTTAATTATTAATACATATGTAGAATTTGTCAAATTAATCACTGATTGCTCTGAAGTTTTTATAATTAAGACTCGAAAAATATAGATGTTGCAAAATATTTTAAGTCTCTTCCTTTATATAAAATAAATATAAAGAATTCATATTCCATTTTAATACTGCTAACATTATTTTTATGCGTCATTTTTATGTCATAATTACATCAAAATAAAAGAAATCAAAATGACGATTTTTGATTACAAAATTTGACGACTTGTTGACGATTATTAATATACACAATAAATGGATTATTTCTCATTTATATTCGCCTAATTTCAAATAATCTGTTATTATTCTGATTCCAACAAGGAATCCGGATTATTAAATAAATTATTTTAAATTTAGTTTATTAGAAATTAAAGTGATCAATAGTGATGCCAGGAACAGGAACAGGACATTACTCATATGCACACAAGCAGAGAGATGTTATGTGGTTCTCTGATTGTGTGTATGTGACCACCGTCCTTTTTCTGGCACTATTGTTCACAAAAAGAAAAAATATATACTACAGATCTTATCTAATATGTTTAGTAGTACTTTATATGTATATATCCTTTATATACATTCATAATGAAAAATTGAATACGAGTTTAGTTAAGTTTGATACGCTGCGTAGCAACAAATGTAGAAACTTACTGTATAAATGTGTATAAAAGTAAGATGATAATAGAAAGGCTATTAAATTATAAAAAATTATTAATATCTTAGCGCGACAAGTTAATATTATATAAAAATTTACAATTTGAAAGATACGACATATGTAGCAGATAACAAATCTTTACATTAAATATGTCATAATTAGAAAATAACTGGATCATAAAATGTCTTTTAAGTATTTTTAATTTTTACTATTTTTGTTTATACTACACAATGCAAGAACTAGTCTGACTTTTCTAAACATTTTGGCCATTATATTTATGCACTCTTCTGATTGACAATTCTATTATATGATCTTTTTTATGTATCTGACTTGTTGAAGATTTGGAAAGATTGAAGCGTTTACTATATACAGGGTGTCCCAGTTATCTTCCGTCATCTTTCAAAGACAGATTTCTAGGATTATCTGAAGACGATTTTTCCTCAACGAAATGTCGAGGCACTAATAATTTTCAAATTATAAGTGGAAATAAAGGGTTTTTCGTAAACTAAGCTTTGCAGAAATAAAATATTGACAAAACCACACATTCTTTGATTAATTTTAAATAGAGTTTACTTTAGTTGAGTTTTAATTTAAGACTTAATTGCAAAGATATACATATGATGACAAAAATCGGGAACATGCAAATAATTGCCTTCATTGACATTTTCGCTGAGGAAAAATCGTCTTTAAATGATCCCAGGAATCTGTCTTTGAAAGATGACGGAAGATAACTGGGACACCCTGTATATGTTTTGATATATATAATATTTAAAAGATTTTATGTTACAATTATTGTCCTATTTCTTATTAATCGATCCTCATTACTTTTCTGATTGTATTTTGTATTTAAAAACCATTTTTATCATCCTATTATTAATTTATAGCTCTTTTACATATTACAAGAAATTAAAAATTCTATCAAATTTAGGTATAATTTTTTAGTAGGTATGGGATGCATGTTTGGATGCTATGATAACGTTCAACGAGGATCACTTATCTGAGGAATTGGCATACATAGTTAAAAATGATCTGGTGTTGCACGCAGTCAACACGCAACTTTCTCAGGAAGAAAATGTGACTGTGATTTACGAACCTAAAATCAACTCTCCAAGACATCAACTGAATTTGCCTCTGTACAGTTGGAATCAGGAAAGCGGTACACAACTAGATTACTGGTAAATACAGAATAAAAAAATAACTCTACATTTTATATAATTTATGATAAATACACATATATAAATCATTTTGGAAATAACATGGTTCATTAAATCCACAATTGTTTTTGAATTGTCACGAATTAGAGCGTTAAAATTTACATCTGAAGACATTTATAATTATTTTCGATTGGCTAGTTCCTTGAGTATATCACATCTTTGCGTTCCTACACTGTAAAAAATTTTTGTGTAAATTTACAACTATTATATTGGGTAATATTGAGACCAACTATTAAAGATGTATATTTACATATATTAGTAAATTTACATTTCATAGATAAAATTATTATCTTAAATGGTAAGTAAGCATGTTGTACTAATAAATTTACAGGTTAAAAGTAGATTTCTAGAAATGTTTATGTAATAATACATTTTGTATATGTATTTAAACAATTTTACATATTAAATTTAATTTAAAATTACATACATAATTAGTGTAACAATTACGCTATTTATAACGAAAATATATAAATTCATGTACTTTTACAAAAATTAGATATTTTACTCTTTATTGTGTAAATATTTATTAAGTGTAATTTTTAAATTTTATATTAGTGTTACAAAAAATTGTACATTTACATAAAATCTAAAAATTACACTTTTAACCTTGTAATTTCTCAAATATAAACGAATATTTACATAATAAAGAGTAAAAAAACTAATTTTTGTAAAAGTACATGAATTTATATATTTCCTTCATAAATAAATCGCGTAATGGTTACACTGATTATGTGTGTAATTTTACATAATTTTTTTACAGTGTACCTTGAATTTTAGATTCTGTTTCTGTAGACCATCCGAGTTTCGGTTTCGCTTTTTTAAAGCTTTTTTAAAGTTTTCATATGGAATATAAAGAAACATTAATAATGTCATAAATGCATTGACAAATATGTTCTCGAACGGTATTATCTTGTTCATCAAGATAATAATCAAGATTTTTAAAGCTTTTTTAAAATTTTGATATAGAATATAAAGCAACATTAATAATATCATAAATGCATCGACAAATCTGCTCTCGAACGGTATTATCTTGTTCATCAAGATAAAAATCAAAATAGTAACCAAGTCGTCAAGTTTGACACAACGCATGAATTCATTTTTATGATGGATAATTTTTTTGAGTAAACATGATTTTGAATTTTCAGAATATTCAGAATATCTAAATATTATCTTGCTTGTTGGCGTTCCCACAAAAATATTATTGGCCTTACGATACAACGACTGAATGATCTCTTGTGGCAAACTCATCGGCCGAATACGTAGGCCATCACAATGATCCGAATTCAACAATAATATATTCTTTCTGCACGCTTGTATTATTTTACGCGCGGGAATGTAATCAAGCAACTTAGAGAACAGCATGTTTTCGAAGCGAGCTATTACCTCGGCGTGTCGCACCAATCGTTCGAGACCCGCGCGTCTACGTAACTCCTGGATATCGGACACAGCCAGACCAACCATTAGATTCATTAGTATCACTGTCACCAGAATAACGAAGCAAAAAAGTATAAAATACATCGTGCCAGGATACTTAAGATCTTTATCGAAGATAATGTCTTGGAATTCCAGCTCACCGGACATCATAATTATTATCTTAAGCATACTGAGCAGCGGATCAGCGAAGGACTTGTAATTGCCGTGCAGCACACAAAAGCTAAGAGAGAAGCCGATTATAAGACAAAAGTAGATTGCAAAATATTTGAAGAAATTGATGAACACTCGCGTAAATATTTGTACATAGAGGCCAAACATGGGTAAATAACCGAGCACAATCATCAGCTCGATCCAGGCCAGCAGAATACCTAGCGCAGCATGATGTTGCCGCTCTGGAGGAATCAAGATGATGATGGATGCTATGATCACGCTGCACCGTAACCAGTTTTCCCAGCGTTTAACATAATAGCAAATACCATAGGTAATTTGGATGATCTCTGTAATCGCAAATAACCAGGTAATAGTTAATACTGGCCAGAAGAGGACTCTGCTCAGTTGTTTATTGTGCCACAAATATGTCGCGCAGACGAAACCGGTAAAGAAAGCGACAAAGATTAAATGGAACAGAAGACTGAGCAGGAAAAACTTGCGAATACGCTTCCACTTGAAATGGAGAAAACTCTCGCATAATGGATGCTTCAATATATGACCTTGACCGACTTGTACTAGGCAGAGCACCAGGTCCGTTTCGTTGCGACTGCCCAATGGAACCAATGGTCGAAAATCTACTCGCAGTTTACGGTCCATATCGTCAAGCTCGTGAGCGTGTAATGAAACTGCTTCATCGAGACGCATCTCAAATTGCCATAACGCCTCCGGAGTATGGTGTACGATGAAGCTAAGAGCGGTGACGCCGTTTTTGGTACGCGCCATTAGGTCGCCACCATTTGATAACAACATTTTCACTATATATGAGCTCTCGTTCAAAGCAGCGATGTGCAGCGGCGTGTAACCGAATTTGTTCGCCTCGTTAACTGATGCGCCTGCCTTTTTAACAAAAAAATAATTTTATTAATTCTATCGTTAGAATAAAAATCATTATTTAATTTTTTTTATTACATAAATTGAATTACTTAACGTAATTTATTAAAAAAATCTGTTTAAAATGTCAAGTTAATTTTTGTATTATTTTAATTAAGAAAAGATATTCTATTCAGTAAGTTAAGGAATTTTTCATTTACATACTTCTATTAAAGTCTTGACCAATTTATTGTTTTTCCCGGCAACCGCAACATGTAGAGGGGTGCATTCTTCATTGTCCTTTGCATTCACCCTTGCACCAGCGCTAATCAACACGTCTATCGTCTCTGAAGATTGGGCGAGCGTTGCCAAGTGCATTGCCGTTTGATCACTCGAGTTTCTTGTCTCAGGTTTTGCGCCGGCATTCAACAATAATTTGCTGCAGTGGACATTGCCCAAACCAGCCGCCACATGCAAAGGTATCTTTGTATAATCCTATCAACGAATCGTAATTAATTCATTGAAGATATCTCAGAATCCCGAAGAGATACGTTACTCTGGTGAGCAACGTATGTTGTTTCTGCATAATTCGCTATATCAGATAATTAGTAGCTTGCCATTTTAATTTTAAACTAGCAGGGATTTTTATTTTAAAATATTACATCCCCACTAAATTTATGTTTAAATTGTGATTGTGATGAAAAAGTACCTGTAGATTATTAGGACAAGCACCTGCTTGTAGTAGAGTTTCGACGCAATCCACAGCATTGTTCAGTATGGCGTAACAAAGTGGACTTCTTCTAGCATTCACATCTGCGCCTGACTTGATCAGGCATGTAACAGTAACAACGCAACCAGCTGCGGCAGCGCAATGCAACGGGGTGCATTTTTTTTCGAAATCCCACTTACATGGATCTGCACCATGTTTCAATAGCTCCTCCACTATCTTCGTGGACGTGGCGCATGCTGCCAGATGTAGCGGTGTCCTCGAGATAGTGGAAATGTGTAATTTTTATCAATAATTTATTATAATTATAGGCTTAATTGACTAATTATCAAGGTGTCTGATAAACTACTGCTAGCTAGTGTAAATTACTCCTATCATAATAGATAAATTATTTTTTATGATAAATTTTTAGACGTCTATACAGGATGGCCTCGAACGTTCCAACCAGACTTTGAGATCTTACAGGAAATTTAATTCTGGATAAAAAATTTCCTAAAAACATAGGTCGAAAAATGCTTCCTTAAGAAGTTATCGCTCAAAAATCTCTGATGAAGGAAGAGGAAAAGGAGAAAAGAAAATGAAACTAAATAAATTTCTTGAAAAAAACGATAAAAAATTAAAATCTTTTTCTTTTATGAAAATAAAATATTTTTTTTTAACTAACTTTTATTTTATTTTCACAAAAGAAAAAATTTTTATTTTTTGTTTTTTCCGTTTTTTTCAAGAAATTTATTTAGTTTCATTTTCTTTTTTAATTTTATTTTTTTTTATTTTATTTTCTTTTCACTTTTTGCTCTTCCTTCATCAGAGCTTTTGGAGCGATAACTTCTTAAGGAAGCATTTTTCGACCCACGTTTATACGAAATTTTTTGTTCAGAATTAAATTTTCTATAAGATGTCAAAGTCTGGCTGGAACGTTCGGGGCCACTCTGTATATTATAAGTGATATAAACCTTCCATCACTGTCCCTCGTAGAAACTGGCACGCCTTTTTCTAACAAAGCCTTAACTATTTCTACATGACCTAGCCAGCTAGAAATCAGTAGACACGTATCCGGCCATTTTGGAAACCATTGAAATTTCTCCAGAACCTTTTGAGCATCGCTATGAAGAGTAGGAATCAGAGATAAAGCTATGCTGCCTCCCGGTAGAGTCGATAATGCTACTTCGATTTCCTTCTTGCTCCAAGGTTGTTTTTGTATTATCAGCTTGTCCTGCGGGTAATATATGATAGAGTCCAAGCTGCTCTCAGAACTGCTATATGTCTACAGATATGATATCCGGCTCATCCAAATATTCTCATTTCTTTTCTAAATATAATTTACATCAAGACAGAAAAATCGAAAGATTATCGATGATTGTTCACTGACCTTATTCATAATGTTGTATCTCTTGTTTTTTATAGTCAGTATCCTCGGCGTTGTTTCTCGTGTCAAATGACTGTCGAAGAATCCCTCGCAGTTCTTCTTACTTAGACTCGCGAAAGTAATATATTTCTTTGATCTCGTATTCCTATAAAGATACCCGGATTAAACTGATCGAATAAATTGATTGAATAAATTAATACACACATTATAGTCACATTGCAAATTAATATACAGGGTGTCCTCCAATATCCAGGGAGACCACTCGTACTCCCATTTTCTTTCAAAAACTAAATATTTTAGAGAAAAACGTTTTGGACAAAAATTGTATGGTTTTGAGGGGAACTATGGTTAAGATGGTGTCATTGGTTTAACCTTGGATGGCATCGTTAAAGTCAAAAACACCTTTAATTTCTTAAATGGAACCATCTATTTTTTATTGCATATTCTTATAGCTTATGTCGAGAGCTTTCCAAAACACTATAATAAAGTATTTTTTCATTGAGTACTTTTCGAGTTATGAGGCTTGAAATAATTTTTCAATTTTATATAAACCATAAAATATCTTGTAAAATATTCATTTTTTTATTATCTTATCTTAATACTTTTATGTACAAAATAATGAGAGGAATCGATTGGTGTAAAGAAAACACACAGTTGTTTTTAAGAAAAAATATGTAATTGTTAATTGCAAATTTACTTATTTTTTTCTTTGGAACAATTATGTGTTTTTTTTACACCAATTGTCACCAATTGACACCATTTTACAGTAATTCCTTTCATTATTTTGTACATAAAAGTATTAAGGTAATATAATCGAAAAATAAATATTTTACTACATATTTTATAGTTTGTAAAATGTGAAATTAAGATATTATTTTAAGTCTCATAAATCGAAAAGTACTCAATGAAAAAATCCTTTATTATAGTGTTTTGGAAAACTCTCGACATAAGCTATAAGAATATGCAATGAAAAATAGGTGGTTCCATTTAAGAAATTAAAGGAGATTTTGACCTGACCTTAACGATGCCATCCAAGATCCAAACCAATGACACCATCTTATGTTCCCCTCAAAACCATACAATTTTTGTCGAAAACGTTATTCTCTACAATGCTTTTTGAAAGAAAAGGGGTGCTTATACTACTGGGGTATTTATACTACTGAGAAGCAATTCAGGCTGTCACTCGTCATTTGATTTGATATAGCAACTAGAATGACGAATGATAGGCAACAATAATTATTTATGTTTTATTACACGAAGTTATTGAACAAAATAATTGGTTTTCGAACAAAGTATTAATATTTACTATAATATTTTTTAAATAAGCATATTTCATACGAAATTAATGTAATTTGTTTAGTGTCCGAATATTTTTGCGACATGAAATTTGTATATTATTTCTTACTTATACTTTGTTATTTACAAACATATGTATATTAAATAAATAAAATTTATGTTTTTTCCAACTACGATGTTCTCTTTAATAGATGATATTGTAAGCAAATATAACAGCAATAATATCTCGCACATCATAGTGTCCGAATATTAATACAAGTCACTGTATATAAAGGTTCTTGCTTTCACACACTTTAATTCTAGACTCAGAAACGTACAGAGACGATCCGTTTGGCGAGGTTTGACGAGAGAGAGATTCCTTCACGCCGATATCGGCTAGATCCGATAATAGCACCGTGATAGATTGATTTCGAAAATAAAGGCTCGTAAATCACGAATAATACGCGATCCTAACATATATAAGATAATCAAAAAGGAAAACTCCCGTCCTCTCTAGGAAACAACTAATATTAATTTTCATCCGATTTTCCTCGAATAATGTAATATAAAAGTTCAAAGAACTTCAATCTAAGTACATTATTTTTTAGATTTTTATAAACAATGAAAAAGATTAATACCTGATTTAGCCACATCTGGCCACGATGATATATAATTCTATCTATATAATTCTCGTACAGATTCTATCAGTTCATTTTGTTCGTGACAACCGAGAGAGAGAAGAAATCGCTGAAAATTTTGGAAGAGGAGTTTATAAACAATGTGGCGAAACTATCCGAAGAACGGTATCGTGAACAGGATGCAGGCGTTTCACTAACTGCTTGCAAATAGAGGCGTGCAAATCTGCTCTCAGTGAGATCCTCTCACTCCCGCTTGTTCCCGACAGCGAGCCTGGATTCTCGAGAGTGGGGATAGATTTCGACTCCCATTTCATCTAATAGAGCATTGGGACTCGGGACTCGCAAGAAATATTCTGTTGTAGATATTGAGAATGTAAAAGTTATAACTTAGAAAATTAATAATAAGCAGAATAATTCTTGTAGAAAGCAGAATTACGCATTTTTTTTTAATAAAAAAAAAATACTTTTGTATCTTTACCAATCCAATTCTTTTTACGCGTTAAAATGATACACGAAAAAATACACGAATGCAAAAGATATCTCTTTTTATGTGGCAGATACGTTTCACAATAATAAGAAATCACGTTATTAGAAAAAAACCGTGTAGAAAGAAAAATATGTACATAAAAGAGTTAAATATATTAGAAAAGTATGCATAGAATATATATATTATTTGATTCACAGTATTTAACTTGCTTGTACGTTACTGCAGACACGGTCGATCCAAGCAGCTGTCATCTATGAATCATTCAATTGATTACAATTGCAGACGGTAATTGATTTTTAATTGTAAAAGGTTGGTACAACCATTATGATTCACTCTGTAGAGTTTACAAACAGAAAATATAATACACATATAAAATATATATTATAATATACATTACAAATATATATATTATAAAATATATGACAAAATATAATACAAATTTAATATAAAATATAATTTGAAATTTAATTCAAAATAATTTATTACATGAAATAATTTATTACACGAAAATGTCCAAAATATACGTATAATATAAAATTTACTAAAAATTTTTACATAGTCCAGAGACGAGAGTAATCAGCAAAGATTAATTACGCGATATTTATTATTAATAATAGATATGCAATAATAGAATTTAATAAGTTTTATATAACGTAAATAATCGTGAGTCATTAATAAAATTATTGATCATTTCTTCGATTGTAAAAGAAAGTATTTGCTTTACTGGCGCATTTTATATAGATTATCGAAGGAAATATTCAAAAGGAAAAGATAGAATAAACTTTGACAATTAAATTATTAAACAAATCATGATTTAAAATTTGTGATAAAACGCGACGAATAAATAAATCGATAATATTCAAAATATTCAATTGCAGATACGCGAGTGACATACCGATAATTTCCGATAAAAAAAGGAGTAATCTTAAGAATGGAAAATGATTAACATCTTGTTTCTATATCCGATTTCGCAAGATCAATTTGCGAAGAAAAGTTAAGTGATCCATTGAACGTCGAAAACTTCACTGTAGCAGAGAACGAATCCCGGATCTTTCGGACTATTCTCAATAGCAATGATTTCAGTAATAAATCAACGACAATTATTCCTCGTCATTATCTTCAATTCACAAAATTGATATTCACGTCAAAACATGTTTCCACATTATTAAGAAATATATTTCTTTATAGAAAAATAAATAGATATAACGATTTTTTTATAGAAATGTGATTACGAACGATTATATTTATAAATAATAAAATACATGCATCATTGGAGTTTGTGTTAAATGTGAGAATACAATAATTTGGGGTACCGTTTGTGCGCGCGAGACGAATCGAACTCAATATCAGCAAAATTTAAAAAATTTCAATTCGAATAGTGTGCAAAATAAATTAAACGAAATAATTTTAAATAATTAATTCTAGATTAATTCTCTAAATTCTTATTCTTATAACGTTTAAACTGATAATTTTTTTTTCTTTTAATCAATATCTTACTGATACAGAGGTACCCGTTCGATTTGTCTCGAAATTTTCAAGTATTCGCACATTTTATGTAACATTCATATATATTTTTGTTATATATATATAATATATAACATTAATAAAAATTATAAAAATATTTTAGACACGTGAATTTGTGCATGTATTTTAATATACATATGTATAAAATCGTATATATCTAAAAACTAATATTTTAAAATGGCTATGGATGTTCAATACCTGCAAATAGTTTCTTAAAAGAAACTAAAAATTAATATTAATATCCCCAAAAATAATTTTTCAAAAGAGAGACAAATTATATTAATTAAAAATATATTCGTTCGTAATCATTTTTATCAAAAAATTAATAAAAATTAATCACAATATGAAATTATTTGAAAAATAAAAATTTATAAATAACGCTATATCCATATTTAATCTACTATTAAATCTTTCTGGCAATAGACAATAATAATACCAATCCTAATAATGATAAAACATTTTTAACGAAGAAAAGAAAAGATATATTTCTTTCATCTAAATATATATTATTTAAATTAATTCGACTTTCGAAAGAAGCGTATGGTGTTCGTCGTTGAATTACTATCAAAATCATTGCTTTCGGAAATTGTCAGGAAAACCTGAAATTAGTTCCTTCAATCTTACAATAAAAATTCCCAATTTTCAA